TTTTTTTTTTAATTTTAAGAAAGGTAATAGTTTTGGAGGTGTTAGTATATTAGAGAGGTTAGTGTGTAAAGGGATATTGAACCCGAAACATCAAATGCAAATCACGGATTACCCTTTAGAACAGTAAGTGACCACTGAGTCACGCATGTAGAATGCTTAAATCAAATTAACCTATTTTTTATCTCCACTAAAAAAGGAAGATTAAAAAGATTAAAAAAAAAAAGGATCATCCACCTCAAAATCAAACCCCAAAATTCATGAATTCCACCTTCATAGATCAAACAAGCTCAAGACAAGTAGACCCCCACGTGGCCCAAGTGGCCATGTTGCCTTTGGTTAGTAGGTGTTCTACATCTCTTCAGCGATTCAAATCTTTTCATTAACAGATACTAACATTACTTTTAAGTAACTTTTATTGTAAAAAAAAAAAAAAAAGCTCCAAGCAATAAAGAGCCTGAATTCATCCCTTTGTCTCCATCGAAAAAATTCAAGCTTCAATCCAATCACGTATTCCACAACCTATATATATATAAAAAAAAAAAACCGTTTGAAAATCAAACTCGGAACCCAATATTACAAGTTCTCAGAGCCAACAAATATAGGTTATTGAACCTATAGTTTTTAGGTTGAATTGTGCTTATTCAAGTTGTGAAACCAGAAAGTTCAGATTTGTGAATCTAGAAAGTCAGGGTTTGAATAACCAAGGAAGAAAGAAATAGATGAGGGGAGGAAGAGAGAGAGCTAACAGAAGATGAGAGAAGACAAGGGAAGAGAGATGAGAAACAGAGTTAATGAGGAAGATGGAGATAAGTTTGTAATTTTAATAACAAGTTTATTATTTAATTTATTTTTATAAATTATTAATTAGCCTACGTGGATGCTGACACATTTAAAAATTCTGTCCAATAAAGTAAATTGGGTGACATGTTATTTCCACATCATTTAAAGTTTTCAAAAAATGCAATTTTTCATTCCTCATACATAAGCTTTACCACTTGGTTGTTTAGGAGAACACCATCTTGGGTTGAAAGTTGGAATCTCCCGTGATCTTCCTTCCTCATTCTCGATCCTTTAGTATGGTTTGATTGTAATTTTTTTTTTTAAATATAATTTTTCATTAGTTTAATGGTAATAATATAGTAAATAATTTTTTTGTGTAATCTTTTTATTTAATTTTTATGTCATTAAATAATTTAAAACATACAATATTATAAATTTTAAATTAAATAAAAAATTAGTCATCAAATAACATGTAAAATTATATATAAAATTTATACAAAATGATTATTACTGCACCATTTCCTTTAGTTTAACTGGCCACGTCAGCGTCTCAGCGAACCATTGACTGGGGTATGAGTTTAGGGCAGAATTCTGATGTTGAGGACTTAAAAAGTCCGAAATTGAGTTAAGGGACCAAATTGGTTCAAAGAATAAAGTTAAGGGATCAAAAAAGAGATTTATTACAACCTTGCAAGAGCATTGAAGTGACTGAACGCCTCCCAAACGTAAAAAGACAACACGCATCCTGATGATCTTACCATAAAAACGAAAAAGGTAAAAGTAAAACACCTAAATACACCACTAAAATTTAGTAGTAGTGGTAGATTTACTTTTAAATAAAAAAATATGAGCAAATCTATTTATAAAATTTGTTATTTGAATAAATTATTTTAAATTTAATGTGTGATGTCATTTAATGTTAATAATTTATTAATAATAAATTTATTAATGATATAACAAATTAATAAATTATTAATGTCAAATGATGTTATATATTAAATTTAAATTTAAAATAATTTGTTTAAATAAAAAACTTTATGAATGAATTTGTTATGAGTAATGATAGGCGGGACGACGCCGGAGACGAAATTGGAGGACGACCAGTATTATAGGAGTTAAATTAATAACTACATCAGATGCATAAATCCTCATAATACTTGTCATCACTCAATTTTGTCCGATGTCGTCCCGCCTATCATTACTCATTTGTTATTATTATTTTTTCAAAAGTGAATATATTCCTTTCACTCTATTTTGGGGCAGATTTTAGTATTCTGCCAAAGAAAAAGATGCTCCATGATTCATTGGCTATTTCCACAAAAATTGATGAGGCGCACGTTCCTTTTTTCAAATGTTAGGTAACTTTTACTGAGTCAAAATATAAAATTTCTTTAGCTCTTATCATATTAGCTAGATTCAACGTATCCAAATTCTTGCCCACGTTCATACGTATTCCTTAAATCACATCTCCTCTCCATTCCCCACAATTACATCAAGTTGAAGAAAAATAATAAAAAAATCAAGAGTATTCCTAATTCTTAAACCAAATTCTCAAAAGTCAATCAATTTTGTGTGACTCAAATAGTCACTACCTAGATTTCCACCTATATGATTGGAGTTTGATTTCCTTTATCCTTAATCTCCCTCCCTCACTCTCAATTTCTCTAGTTTTTGAAAAAAATTCTCAAGAGTTAATAAAAAATCTAGTGAAGTAAAGAGAAATTGAAGGAAAATTTGAAACTTTCTTTCTAATATGGTTAACTTTAATTTCACCTTTTAGCCATTAAATAACATTAAAGTTGATTTTAATTTTATTAACTAAACAATTAAAATAAAATAATTTTTAAGTGTATATGTTCAAAGTGTATTTAATATGTCTTTTTATAATTAATTTTTATTAAAAAATTTTAAAAATAATTTTAATTTTTATCAATCATTCAATTAAAAATATGTATGGGATATTAGTGATAAGAATAAGGTTCACTTTGTATTTTTCTATAGACATTAAATGTAAAAATATATAATTAAAGTAATTTTAAAATTTTCTCTAAAAGTATACGTTAAACAACTTTTCAAATATTACGTGCCATTAGTGTTAACATTAATATCAATTTTTTTTATTTTCCTATAAGATTTAATAGTTAGAAGGTGTATATTTTCACCTTTAATATTTTAATCCAAAATGAACTTGCTAAAATCTAAATTAATAGGGTTTTTTTTTTGTGCCATTAAGATATAAATTAAAGTATAAGAAATATATTTTTTCATTATAAATTCATATTAAATATGTAAAAATTAATTTTTAATTTATCATATGTC